TTTCAGAGCTGGAGCACAGGCCAATACTGGCTTAAGGTAGGTCTTTCAGCGGCCCCGAATGTTCCGGACTCACATCTGCCACTCCATGGACAGCTGGATTATCTTGGGGCTACATTGTCCTATACGGCCTTCGAACAGTTGACCTTCGACAAACGAGCCAAACAGGCATGGATCACCTTTCACCGCCTTCGTCCAGCACTGCGCACGCAGGGGCCTCTGAGTCTAGGTCAGCGCATTCGCATCTTCAAGGTCTTCGTGATGCCCACACTAATGTATGGAATTGCGTTCGTAGGGATCACGCAGCATGTTGCGCGGGGCTTGATTCGCACATTGTCTCAGATGCTGCGGAAAGTCCTTCGGATACACGAACATGGCGTATCCAATCAAGCAGTTCTGCAGCGTGCCCAGATTTGTCCAGACCGGGTTGTCCAGGATGAGCTCCAGAACAAACAAATTGCCATCTCCAAAGATACTCTCCGCTGCGCAGCTTTACGTGATGAGGCGGTGCAGCAGATTGCCCAACACCAGGAGGCCGCGGCTACAGCTTTCAACTCAGGCAGTGAGATCTTGGTAGCGGTAGATGATGCCGCCGACAGTATCCCCTGTCCAGTATGTGGTGTTTCATATGTCAGCCAAGAGGCTCTCAATGCTCACATCACGGCTCGTCATCCACACATACATCAGCAGGCCAGGACAACATTCGATCGTCTTCAGCATGCCCTTTTCGGAGTACCAATTTGCAGGCTTTGCCGTCGCAGACACTATGATTGGATCAGTCTGGAAAGGCATATCACCGAAGGCAGATGCCCAAGGCTTAAACAAGCAGTGGCTTCTTCAAGCACGCCTGCCCAGATTCTCGCGGAGGTACAGAAGGAGGAGGCGGTCAATCCACCAGTTCCCCCGGAGGCTCTGCGAACGGAGGCGCCCTTCCTTGATAGGCATGCGCAGCTAATGCAGGTGACACTTTCTGCACTTCCAGAGCATCACGCAGAAATCTATACACTCAAGGACCGCTGCGCCCTCTGCAATCAAAAGTTTCAATCAGGCCTGAGAATCAAACCGCACTGGCAACAGATCCACGCATCGGAGTGGGAACACTCTCACAAAGACGCCATCTCAACGCTCGGCAGCCTCCAGGCGATTTTCAGAAGTCCTTGTCAGTTCTGCGGGAGCACGGCCAAGGCAGGGAACCACAGAAGTACGCAGCACGCCACCAAGTGTCCAGCGCTGTATCAGGTTGTACTTCTACGTCATCTTCATCGCCATGGGCTCCTTCACTCGAACATCAATGCCACCCGCGGCCCATCCCTAAAGCAGTCAGAGAAGCAGCCACTCTATAAGACCGCTCCAATTCCGTCTATTTTCAAGGCACTCCGAGCGGTACCCGGACAGCGCGCGGAAGCCAAGCCGAGATCCA